TCGGTTTTGCTCATCATACAATAAAGCTGCTGTTTCGTGTTGACAATTAAGGATATTAAAAGTCAAGCGTTTATCAAAATAACTTTGTCAATCAGTGGGGAGAAGTTGAAACATTTTCTACCTTACTGTCAGTTTTGGAACCAGATGATAGCGACGATATGGCGAACGATTGCTGAAGTGTCGTCGGAAGTGAGAGGGCGTCGTCAGTGATCATCAGATCATCCTCCTCACCCTTTTCATCTACTGCTCCACTTTTCTTTCTGTTTTTCGACTCCACATTATCAACGACTTTTTCTCTTAAAATGCTCTTGCTTATCAAAAAGAATTGCCCTATTCCAGGAACCATAAAAACGAATCGTTTCAATTTCGACTAAAATGTGAGGAATTTCATAATTTTTCCGCCTCAACATAATGTTTTTCTGAAACTGCATTAAGTTTAAAACCGAACATTCAACCCAATGCATCGTAACACTGATTATTGCAGCGAATTTTCGATAGGAAATCAGAAAATTTGCAGCGATATTCGGAGATATCAACGGATTTTGAGCAAATAACAACAGCAGAAAGCAGAATAAAAGAAGTACCGTTGTTCCACCGGCTTGTCGGTTGTCTCGTTGAATGGCTGCTGTTGTAGCGATGTCTCAACATTAGCGTATAGGATTTGTTTTTTGGTGGATGGTGCTGAACGGGTGTGAGTAAGACATGGACGAGCCCTTTCAGGATCCATTGGTGGACATTCGTCAAATGCGGTCTAAATTAAATATTCCACTCTGATTGTGGGCAGAACAATGCGAAAATTATTCCTTGACATGATAATGATAATGAAACTAGGATCAGTTTATGGAAACAAGCAGATGTTTCACCACTGATATTATTAACATGATCAAGCATTGTTAAAGACAAGTAGATCGTGAAATTTTCGAAATATCAATGAAAATTGTCTTCAATCCAATCATCAGTAGTGGAAAAATGAGGAATTTGTGAGTGTTTTGAAGGATTTTGAAGTGGAAAATGTAACGAATCAAAACCGATTGTCTTCTGGTGACTGGCAAGGAACTAAGAGTCG